GGTAGACTTCATACTTATTTTAATTGCATTACTTTTTCGCCAAATAGTCGTACTCGCATACGTGTATCTTTGTATGTCGCCGTATGTTTGTAAGTAAATTAATGAATGAACTTACTTGAATGCATACTAGACTTAGAGTTAGTACACTTACTGTAGTTTGAACTGATTTTGAATTGTAATTTTGAATGGCATTTGCGTTAGTGGCCATGGCAGTGCGAAGTATCTACACTTACGAAATTTAAAATATCTTTTTATTTTATTTTGAATTTATTTCATTTCTGCCTTTCTTGTACTTATAATTTCTTTTAATTAAGATGACGTTGTTGTCAGTTGATCTCCTCAACGATAAATTGACAGTTTCTATTTGTTACTTTGAGTGGGGTTTGCTGTTGGAAATTCATTATTAAAATATCTCTTTTGTTCGCGTTTCTATTATTTTTAGTTGTTGTTGGCTATTAATTCTGCTTTATACAATTTACGCTTGAATTTCTCTAAAATGAAAAAATATCTACAATAAACTAGAAATTCTTGGCATGTGATGTCATTAGCGTTTGTTTTGAATTTTGACTGTTAAACACGACATGAGTTTCACTCGTATGCTTTTATAGAAGCACTGAACCCCAGCAGAAAAAAAATGAAATTCGAAAAAAGTCTATATTTCAAAATATATTGCAATAAACAATTAACTAAAAATTTTAAAAATTTTAAAAATATTATTTATACCATTAATTGTAATAAAATAATAAAGTTATCTTAAATAAAGTTCTTATAAGCAACAAAAGTACAGAAATTAGTTTTAGAAGTTTAATTATGTTGAGTTAGCATTTATTACGATTAGTAGATTAAAACTGGCTGGTTTTATTGTGAAGATGTCGGAAACTACACCACAGCAGTAGTAGAGGACATTTATAAAGAGTGTGGATGCTTGGAGTAAACAATAACCTTCTGAGAATAGGCAGCAATTATATTGAAAATAAATGCAAAAATCAGCAAGTTTGTTAGGAGATCATGTGATAGGCTTAGATCCATTGATAAATATTACACCACGACTGAAAAAAATGATGAACAAATATTAAATAAATCTATTCAGCGTATTATGCACTATGGTTTTTCTTAACTGAATTGTGTAGTTTTTATGCAAAATGTGACTTAAACATACCATAAGTGCTGAGTTACTGTTAAAATGTGTAAAAAACGGAAAAATTCATTAAATGGAATTTCTACCAAATTTTTTTCACAGAATTCGCAAAAGATTTCTGCTATGATATTACAGTGAGGAACTAGAGCAACTGCTCGAGTCTACAGATTTAACTTTTCCGCTCCAGTGTTATTGCTGAATTTCTCTGTTTATACTGTTTTGCTGTGATTTGGAGCCTTTTAGTTTCTTCTGTTTATTAGTAAGAACAAAAGATCAGTTTAGCTGCATAAGCTTAACTGGATGGATTTGGTTTACCTATAGAGAATTCCTGAATAAATTATAATATTAAAACGATAAAAAATTGCTGATTATGAAAGGTAGAATAGTTACTCCCAATGGGTGACCGCAACCAACCAACCATGGCACTCATTGAACTTCCTCACCATGACAAAGTAGCTTTTTCCGAAGGGAATATCTCACAAATTTTTTATTCATAATAATAATACCAAAAAATATTACCTATAGTGAGTGGTATGTGTTAAAAATTATATATATATTTTATTAAAATACCTAACATTTATAAAACTGTTATACCAAATATATTGTCATTGATTTTTTTTTATTAATACTAGTAGGTTGTATAAACTTCTTGGTAAAAAAGTAGTAGTTTGTACAAACTTCGTATTGCGAATAGATTTTTAATTCCGTATCTCTCCCTCTTTCTCTCTCATTTTTTTCAGTATTTGATATTAAGTTTATTTTTTTATATAAAAGTCTTATATATCTTGATGACGTGAATTTGATTTGACCATATAGATATAATTTGACAAACACGACAAAATTAAATTAAAAACTGTAGATACTTTTAAATATTTATACGTGTATTTTAAGAACAATCACTTTGATGTTGATTGATGCGAGTTTAGTAAGTAAAAAAAAATTAAAAATATTATGTCATTTTTTATTAAAAGTTGTTTATTTAATTAAAATTTGCTGATCATTAGCAATTAACTTGAAGCTATGATATAATGGCCTAAGAAAATTAAGCAAAATTTTATTTATTTTTTTATTATTATTTTATTTATTTTTTTATTATTATTTTATTATTATTTTATTTCGCCCTCTTAACTTCATAATTTTAAAATTATATGAATATATCCGAAAACAATTTTAAGTTTTATACTTAAAATAGAAATATTGTCATATAAAATAGAGATCCATTACATCCAAGATGCATTCTAACTATTTAAAGAAACCTTAAACTACTTAACAGTCATCAATGATTCCGGGTTTTTTTATTTGTATTTGAAAATAAAAATTGCGATTAAAGTTATTTATGTTCAAATCAATGGATTATTTTAAGACTGAACAAAATTTGGTTGTAAGCGGATCAGCGGGTGAGTTACCCGATTCTACTTCATTTTGGTTCATGACACATAAGAATGTTTAAGCGATTCTTTTGCTCTGTGGTTTTAGTCTCATATTCGTGTGTGTGATATTTTCACCTCAGAAGCTTATACAGTAAGTCTTCACGGAAAAATGAATCCAACAAAAGTAATTTCAAACCATCAATAGAGAGTGTCAAGGGCCTAAAATGTTTAATCTTAAATTAAATTTTTGTGATAATTCTTTAGTTTCTCTCGACAAGGTTAAAAGGTATAAGTAAATTAGAAAGATCTTTCCATCTTTTCTCCTGCTTTCTGTGACTTGAACTGACTACTTTATTTCTATCCTTCTTCTATCCTTTTTTATCCTCATTTTTCTTTCTATTTCTCTCTCTC